GACGAGCGTTTTGAACTCTCTAAATAAAAAAAAAACAGAGATGGCATTGTCATCCTCTCAGCCGAGAAGGGCAATGCCACTGTCATCATGGATTAAACCACTTACAACAACAAAATTCAGGACCTTCTTAATGATGGGAGATATACCAAAATCAACAGAGATCCCACCAAATGCCTAGCTACAAAATCAACAGTAACATCACTAAATCGACCTCTCTAATCGATCAGTCCAAGCAGAGCTCCCTAAAACCTTCGGCTACGAGACCACCCAGATTTTATGGCCTTCCAAAAATCCACAAAGTAGGTACCCCGCTCCGTCCTATCGTCTCAACCATTAACTCACCCACCTAAAAACTGGCCCGATTTATTTCTGAGATCCTGCTTCCTTTCATGGGCAAGTCCACCTCAGCTGTACTTAACTCAGCTCACTTGGTTTCTCTAATCAAGGACATCTCACTGTCTCCAGATGATTTGCTTGCCAGTTTCAATGTAGTCTCTCTGTTCACCAATGTACCTATATCTGACACCATTGCAATCATTTAAGACTTTGTCCAACAAGGTCTGAATCTAGATGTACCAACTTTGGTAAGACACTGCCTTACCTACACATACTTCACCTGGAATAATACATTTTACAAACACAATTAGGGTACCCCTATGGGTTCTCCCTTATCGCCAGTGGTAGCGAATGTTTTCATGGATACATTTGAGACAGATGCCATCCAGAAATCCACCCTACGTCCTTCCTTGTGGAAGAGATACGTGGGTGACACGTTCGTCATCTGGCCACATGGCCTGGCAGCACTGAACCAATTTCTCAATCACATCAATTCCACATACCTGTCTATCAAATTCACCATGGAAGTGGAAAAGGATGGCAAGCTACCATTCCCGGATGTTTTGGTCGAGAAGAGACCTGATGGCTCGTTGGGACATTCGGTCTACAGGAAAGCCACCCACACGAATGCCTATCTAAAGCCTGACTCCCACCACCATCCAGCCCAGAAGAATTCCCTCATCAAAACACTACACCATAGGGCCCATTGCATCTCCGACCAGCACCACCTAGCCAGTGAGTTGGATCACATACACCAAGCCCTCAGGATTAACGGATACTCGGACTGTACAATCCGCAAAGCTGTCTCCCCAGCCATGCGGAGACAACCTTCTGAGGATCCAACCAAAACCATCACTTTACCGTATATAGCAGGGGTTACCAAAAATATTTCAAAAATCTTAAACAAACACAAGATCCAGGTTCGTTTCAACCCAGTACACAAACTATGTGATTTAATCTCATCTGTAGAGGATGTGATTGCTGACATGCAATACCCTGGTGTCCACAAACTGAGTTGTGGTTGCAGCAGCAGTTACATTGGGGAAATGAAACGACATGTTTCGGACCGCATTCGTGAACACAAGGCAGATCTGAAACACGGTAGGACCAATACATCTGCCGTTGCCGATCATTGTTTTAACGCTATGGGCTCACACAAAATGTATTTTTCGAAGATGGAGGTACTCTGCAAACCTACCGGCTACCTTCAGAGATTTCTTCATGAAGCCATTCAGATATATAATCACAGACATAACTTCAACCGAGAGGATGGGTACAAACTGAGCAATCATTGGAAATACGTTATTAAGCAGGTAAAGTCTTAACTGACTGTGATGTTTCCATCCTACCTGCCTATGTCAGCTGTTATTTCGGACTCTCTGTCTCTCTCTCTATGCCTCTCTCTTGGATCTCTCATGCTCACATGTCCTTTGCATTGCACTCTCTTGCCTTTGGATTGCACTCTCATGCTCAAATGTCCTTTAGATTGCACCTATTGGGTTGCACTCCCTCGTCGAGGAGGCCACTCTCCTATCTTACAATTACATGCTAATTTCTCACATTAACATCACTAGCCCGGCCACTTCTTTATGACCCTTGGGCTACACCCATTTCAAACCTTTGAAAACAGTCTGCCTCAGCAGCAGACCATGCTTTCCCACCTGATGACGGACGCTTGTGTTGCACCCGAAACATCGTGATTTTTTTTTCATACCTACCTGACTTTACCGAAAGAACCAAAGAGTATAGAAACACAGATTAGAGACACACACAGAGGCTTTTCACACATACTAGATACACAGAAAATCATGTACAGCACTGCACATGTACAGACTAGAGTCACACAGAAGCATGTACAGAACTACACACAGAGAGATTAGAGACACACATAGAGGCTGTACACACAGACTAGACACATAACCATATCCAGTACTGTACTAAACAGAGCGACTCACACAGACTAGATACACAAAGAAGTATAGACATTACTACCCACAGAGACACACACAGAGGCTATACATTTGTAGTGGCATAGCGCCGACTGCTGTCCAGCAGCAGCAACTGCGGTGGACAGTTAGCGCACACGCCATTGAGCATATACACGGTGTGTGTGCCGGCAGGGCAAAGTAACTGGGGCAAGGGTCATGGAAGACCTCATCTGAAATCCTCTGGAACCCGCTAGTGGGTTCAAGAAGCGAGGCATGGCCAGGGTGGATCCAGGCAGCGCCGAGTAGGATAAAAGCAGCGGATAGCGAGAGCTCCGGGCTGCCGGTTCTGGAAAGTGGACTCGTCTCGTCGTCACTGTCATCTTTGCTGCATTCGTTGCTGCTGCCTTCATTCGATAATTGGCGGGCTGGATAGTTGTTGGCTGTCTCGGTCGACGCCGTCAGTGTAACGCGGTCAGGGTTGTGTCTAGGATAGGCTATACGACTCGGAAGGAACGAGGGCGAATCTGTGAACCTAAGAGTGTTAATAAAGAAGGTGCCTCCTCAACAATCCTGCCTCCCTGCCGGTCGATACTACACATACAGTACAGCAGCCCCTTGAATATCGCGGGAGTTATGTTTTTGGAAAGTTCCGCAAAAGCCAAAATCGTGATATCCAATCATTAAGCCTCACCTGTTTAATGGCGTTAGGTCAACGGCAACCAAAAATAGACACATCACAATTTAAATAAGTGGTGTACTGTATGCCAAATAAAATAAAAACAAAAAATTAAATTGAACATGTAAAAACCCAATACAAAAAATATTCCTAGACGATAAATAGTAGTATAACTACTGAAAATGCTTTATTTACCAATAATGATGATCCAAAGTGAGAGTGTGTGCTTGTCCGCGAGTGGAGAGGAGTTGTGCAGCGGTTATCGCGCTGCTCTGCCAACCTGGTGAGTCAAGTTCGATTCCCGGTCATGGCCACCAACACCAGTGATGATTATCTGAACTGGTCATGGGTCTCTCCTAGGTCGTCTCAGCCTTACATGAATACCTGGTGCGATGTGTAAACATTGCCACCCACCCCCTCATGTGCCATGCCGGCAACAGTATGTTGAGGCTTTTCAAGGGTATTTTGTCAATCATCATGATTATGGACATGCTTGTTGTTGCTGGTAATATTACTGTTATATGATTATAGTTTTAATATGAACATGATTGTGTTTCCTGCAACTGCCAATGTTTTTCTGCAAAAATATTTGTAGAAATATTCTTTGCATTACGAGTACAGTATCACATACCCTAAATTACTGGAAATATGTTGAAACTGTGTACGAGTGTGTGGTTGTTCCTGAAATGGGGAGTGGCGGTATAGTCATTAGCGCGTCGCGCTAGGAACCCAGTGACCCGAGTTCGATTCGTGGCCAACAATAGTTACGATTATCTGAACTGGTCAAGGGCCTCCGCTAGGTTAATTCACCATCAAATTAGTTCCTGGTGAATTGTATATACATCGCCACCCCCCTCGTGTGCCGTGCAGGCCTGCAGAGGTCCTCGCTAACAGCACTTGCCCCAACAGTGTGTTACTGGGGGTCTTTGCCTGCCAGATTCTTGCACAGCAAAGGTTGATTTGCCACTGACTGCCTTGCATCCCTTGCCCGCCCTTCACCACGATATCAGTTAATACTTACATGTAGAGTAAAGCCGCGAAAGGCCAAAGAGCTAACCTCCGAGATAGCTAAATTAGTACACTAAGATATTACCCGCGATAGATCGAAACCGCGAACAATAAAACTGCGAAATTCAAGGGTCCACCGTATATGAAAACAGATTTCACAAAAAGCCCCCGCATAATATTAGTAGACTGTTGGGGCAAGTGCTATTAGTGAGCAGCAGCGGCCATGAAGGCCGCCAGGGCACACGAAGGGGTGGGTGACCAGCACAATTCCCGGCCGCCTTTTTCTCCTCCGTCGCGATGTTTACTACACACTACAGTAGGTACTCCTTTGAGGCTTAGTCGACCTAGGGGAGAAGGCCCAGGACCGGTTCAGATAATCGCAACCACTCATGGTGGTGTTGGTGGCAACCGTGAGCGGGAATCAAACTCGGGTCTCTGCCGGGTTCATAGTCCAGTGGTAATTGCAAAGACACCTATGCTCTAAGCTGTGGAAGAATGGGATTAACTCTCAATACTGATCTCACAACAGAGCCATCGCGGTTGAGTCTCTGATTTGTATTAACAAAAAAGCTCTATTATTTAGATCAGTGTTTTTTTAAGGAATACATTCCTTCGATAAATGTTTATTTTAAGCTGAATCTAGAGAAGTGTGTACAGTATCCGTGTACAACTTGACGTAGTTGTTTATTTAGGGCACAGGCACACACACACCCTACACACACACCTCTTACACACACACCTCTTACACACATACACCTTACACACACACCTTACACACACACCACTTACACACACACACACCTCTTACACACACACCTTACACACACACCACTTACACACACACACACACACCTCTTACACACACACCTTACACACACACACTTACAAACACACTTACACACACACACACCTCTTAAACACACACACACTTTACACACACACACCTCGTACACACACACACCTTACACACACACACTTACACACACACACTTACATACACACCCCCCTTACACACACACTTACACACACACACACCTCTTACACACACACTTCTTACACACACACCTCTTACACACACACCTTACACACACACACTTACACACACACACTTACACACACACATTCCAGGGTGTGTCTCGTGATGCCAATACCATTGAAAGCATTTTAGGTTTTTTACTTCCTTCTTTACTCTCGCTATAAGAGTTCCTGATCCAGCGTCTATCTGAGCCACACAGCGAGTGATCCAAGTGAAGCACATAGCTCATGGCAAGTGCGACTCCCAGTGAGAGTGTGGATAGTGAGCTGAGCTGCTCCATCTGCCTGGACACGTTCGTCTGCCCCTCCACACTGAGCTGCGGACACTCGTACTGCATCCAGTGTCTGGAGGCCGCCTGGGAGACGGCGAGCAGCTTCCGCTGCCCGCAGTGCCGAGCGGCCTTCCCTGTCCGACCCCAGCTGAGGCGGAACGTGGCCCTCGCCAACCTGGCAGAGCAGCTCAGAGCTGAAGATGTGATGACCACGGGCGTCGTGTGTGACCACTGCAGAAACGGTCAGACTCCTGCAGTGAAGACCTGCCTGAGATGTGAGATGTCTTACTGTGCCACGCACTTGAGGCCACACTTGGACAATCCCAGGCTAAGAGAACACCGCCTGGTGGATCCCATCGCGAACCTGGGGGAGCGACGGTGCCGGCAGCACAGACAGGAGCTCATTCTTTACTGTCAACAGGATGAGAGCCTGGTCTGCACATTTTGCACCATGGCTGGGGAACATACAGGGCACGAGGTCATTACAGTGGAAAATGCTCAATGGTCAAAACAGGTGAGGTATAAATCGCTGCTGTAACCCAATATCCTACAGTGTGACGACAGCATTCTCGTGTGTATTAAGTGCGAAAGTCTATATTATTTAGATTTGCATATTTTGAGGTAACTCATATTTTATTATGAGGGAACTCATATTTTGCCAGTATTGTGACGTTCAATCAATTCAATGTGGGCAATACGGATTGTAAAACTGGCACACAATAGAGAGCAGAGACACGGAAGATGAGAATGTTGATTTGAATGGATGTAATAACAGGGTATTCCCTGCTTTATTTATAAGGCAAAGCACTTCGTGGCATGGCTAGCATCGATGTAAAATGCAATTCACATAATACGATTTGTACATGTGATTATCAATGATAGGTGGAGAGAAATTCGGAGTAAATTGAGATACTTCTAAAGTGCTTTGACCATGGACTTAAAGGAGGCAAATGGAAGACCATTTCAATGTGAGAAACAAGGCCGTCAGACAGGATTTGATTGTCGGAAGAGCAGATTTAGATTTACATCGAAAATTACAACTTGCCGCTAATATAGACGCTGTGTGTTCCATTCTTTGACAGAACATTGGCTTGTGGTTGAACGTTGCCACGGTGAAGCTTGGCTAACCACCAGAGTGTTAGCCAGTCAGGCTATTGACAGGTGAAATGGAGCAACAGTGCGGGACTAAGACCACATAGCCAGCAGACTGGGTGGGACTTGGCGTCGGCAGTTTCATGTATAGAGCGCTTACTCCTGCCAATGCCAAGCCCTGCCAGAGGCAATCACATGGGTACAGATTGCAGTGTGCAATCTGAGCACTTGGGTTTAATATTACAGAAACTGAAGTCAAACATCCCAAAAAAGGATATTCACGTCAATAATCATCACCATTATTATCAATATGTTTGTAGTTGGTGTTGTTGTTGCTGGTAATATTCCTCATATTGTTATCCGATTATAGTGTTAATTTTGATGTTATTGGGTTTCCTGTTGCTCACAATGTTATTCTGAATATATTTATTCCTATCGATATTCTTAGAAATACTCGTACCACATACACTCCATTTATAGAATACTAGCGGGAAGTACCCAGCGTTGCCCGGGTCTTAAAAATATTTCAAAACTACTCTTAAAAATCTAACAGCAGTGCGTACTGACTGTGGTGGTACTTGCTATATTACAGCAGTGCATACTGACTGTGGTGGTACCTGCTATGATTACAGCAGTGCATACCGACTGTGGTGGTACCTGCTATCACTACAATAGTACATACTGACTCAATAGCAGTATTTATCGACTGTATAGCACAAAGTACTCACCTGACAGGGTGGCGTGGTGTGGCCGAGTCCCATACAGAGCATCCGGCCTCGCCTAGATTGTCCAGCTGGCCGAGGTGGAACCTTGGCAGGCTGGGGTTGGGCTGCTACCCCCCCTCCCCCAGCCACGATCTCCCTGGCCGCTCTATAGTGGTAGCATCTTGCGACTGTATAGTAGTAATAACTGCACGCATCGGGGTGGGAGGGACATCACACAGTGAAGAATTAACGACAGCGTTTAGTGTATTTTTATAGCATTTTTAACGCGAAAGAAAATGTCCCCCTCACTCCCACCAAAGGCGTGCGACTTGGAATGGGCCGTCCGACCCACCAAATAGCGCGTGAGTTGGTATGGTCGTGCAGGCGTCATAAATTAATAAATAAATAAAGGGGAAGCGTGCAAAAATCGCACTAAATCGGTAATTACACTTATTTAAAGTTGACGGATGTGAAAAAGAAATAGGTCTTACGGCATGATACCTGGCTATTTTTTTACGTAAACCCCACCGTTGGATATCCAAGCGCGTGACCACACACAAACCCACACACATTTTTTTACTTTTATATATAAATGTTTAACCTGTGTATGAGGGTGTGGTTGTTCCTGCATTGGAGAGCGGTGGTGTAGTGGTTAGAGCACTGTAATATGAACATCATCACATGGCTCTCCCAACCTTGAGTCCTGTCCAACTTGTCCGAACACACCCAAGCAGCAGCCCTGCCAGCATCAGAGCTGTCTGTACTCCTGATACCACTCTTGAACTTAGGTTGGTTTCCTTTAAGATTTAGGATTTGAGTTTTGGTGTTTGCTGCACTTTCATACAAAGTGTGTGCTGCAATATCTCGGGGGTTATGGTTATTGGTTACCCGAGATTACATTGTTGGGAAAAAACTGGAGAAAACACGAGCATGTGAGTTGGCACCACCTCAATAAACCACGCTGTGATCCAGCCACCTACTTGAGACACGACTGTTGTGATGCCTCCTAAAGATCCCCTCGCAGCCTGGGAGGTTGGACGTTTCAAAAGAGCGATGATTATCTCTGGGCGATCCAGAAAACCTGCCTACAAGGCTTTGGTTTAAAGACATGTGCCAGATGATGATAATGATGGTAATACCAAATATTGGGTGTTTATCTCCCCCATGTAAAGGAGGTGTTTAGACTCGAGAAGACGATGAGAGAGGAGAAGAAGACTACAGCAGAATCACGGACACAGCAGCTCAAGGGCGCCTTCAAGCGTGTGCAGGTATAGAAATACACACATACACGTGCAGGTACTGAGAGATATACAGACACCTGCATGTACAGAGACACAGACGTGCAGGTACAGAGAGGCAGGTATTGTAGCTACAGAGGCACAGACACCTGCAGGTATACAGAGAGATACAGACACCTACAGGTACAAATAGACACGTGCAGGCACAGAGAGAGACACACACACACAGACTCATGCAGGAATAGAGACACAGACTTGTGTAGGTACAGAAACACAATGACACATGTAGATACAGAGAGATACACAGACGCATGCAGATACAGAGACACAAACAATACAGATACACAGAGAGAGTGTAACATGTAGTAGGCTTTTGCCACCAATTAGTAAGGTTTATCACGTAAACAAAACATGCCAATTACCGTATTTTCCCGCGTATAACCCGCGGGGTATACCACTTTTACAAACAAAACAAGACCCTGCGGGGTATTTGGAGGTGCGGGCTATCCCAAAAATATTTTACACGTGTGACTCGTTTACATTTTTTTGTGGTAGGACAATCCACGACGCAACACTTACCATTGACTAAAGCACTGCTGAATAAACCACTCACACTAAAATTGCACGTTATCACGTTTTGTACAATTAAACGACAGTTTGAAGTGCGCGCACTGTTTACCGGCAACGGGAGAGCTCGGGGGAGGGAGAGGTGGGGGTTGGGGGGGAGGGGCAGCTGGGGGGAGAGAGAGGTGGGGGTTGGGGGGTGGGGCAGCTGGGGGAGAGAGAGGTGGGGGTTTGGGGGGTGGGGCAGCTGGGGAGAGAGGTGGGGGTTGGGGGGGTGGGGCAGCTGGGGGGAGGGAGAGGTGGGGGTTGGGGGGAGGGGCAGCTGGGGGAGGGAGAGGTGGGGGTTGGGGGGTGGGGCAGTTGGGGAGAGAGGTGGGGGTTGGGGGGGTGGGGCAGCTGGGGGAGAGAGAGGTGGGGGTTGGGGGGAGGGGCAGCTGGGGGGAGAGAGGTGGGGGTTGGGGGGTGGGGCAGCTGGGGGAGAGAGAGGTGGGGGTGGGGGGTGGGGCAGCTGGGGGGAGAGAGGTGGGGGTTGGGGGGTGGGGCAGCTGGGGGAGAGAGAGGTGGGGGTGGGGGGTGGGGCAGCTGGGGGAGAGAGAGGTGGGGGTTGGGGGATGGGGCAGCTGGGGGAGAGAGAGGTGGGGTTGGGGGGTGGGGCAGCTGGGGGGAGGGAGAGGTGGGCGTTGGGGGGGAGGGGCAGCTGGGGGGAGAGAGAGGTGGGGGTTGGGGGAAGGGGCAGCTGGGGGAGGGAGAGGTGGGGGTTGGGGGGTGGGGCAGCTGGGGGGAGAGAGAGGTGGGGGTTGGGGGGGTGGGGCAGCTGGGAGGAGGGAGAGGTGGGGTTTGGGGGGGAGGGGCAGCTGGGGGGAGAGAGAGGTGGGGGTTGGGGGATGGGGCAGCTGGGGGGAGAGAGAGGTGGGGGTTGGGGGGTGGGGCAGCTGGGGGGAGAAAGAGGTGGGGGGTTGGGGGGTGGGGCAGCTGGGGGGAGAGAGAGGTGGGGGTTGGGGGATGGGGCAGCTGGGGGGAGAGAGGTGGGGGTTGGGGCAGCTTGGGGGAGGGAGAGGTGGGGGTTGGGGGGTGGGGCAGCTGGGGGGAGAGAGAGGTGGGGGTTGGGGGATGGGGCAGCTGGGGGGAGAGAGGTGGGGGTTGGGGGGTGGGGCAGCTGGGGGAGAGAGAGGTGGGGGTTGGGGGGTGGGGCAGCTGGGGGGAGGGAGAGGTGGGGGTTGGGGGGTGGGGCAGCTGGGGGAGAGAGAGGTGGGGGTTGGGGGATGGGGCAGCTGGGGGGAGAGAGGTGGGGGTTGGGGGATGGGGCAGCTGGGGGAGAGAGAGGTGGGGGTTGGGGGGTGGGGCAGCTGGGGGGAGGGAGAGGTGGGGGGTTGGGGGATGTGGCAGCTGAGGGGAGAGAGAGGTGGGTGGGTGGGTGGGTTGGGGGCGAGGCAACGCGTCACCGTAGTGCCGCTATTATCTGCGCAGTGCACAATCTACCAGTGCTAAAACTGTACTTACCTACCAGTTATGTGTTACTTATTTATTGGATATTTACTTTTGTTACTTATTTACTGTTTTAAGTTCACTCGTTTCCGGTTAGTTTGTTTTCTTTGTGCACGTTATGATTTTAATGTTAACAATTAATAGTGGAATATATTACAAATGTGAACTTCATATTAATATGATAGAATTAAGCTGTGGTAACGACGTTAAAGATATGAATGCATGCGGGGTATATGGAGGTGCGGGTTATCTGAATTTTTTAAAAAACAAAATGCTATTTTTGCGGGGTATATGCATCTGCGGGTAATATGCGTATGCGGGCTATATGCGGGAAAATACGGTAGTTACTAGTTCAGCACATCGGTATGTTAGAGAGTACACCCAACAATTGTACAATTTGAGTATGACGTTTCACTGGTCGGGTGATGGCGGGTTTAACGAAATATTTACATTTATACGTTCTAACCCAAAGAAAACCCTCTATTATGGACACAGAGAGACATTGGCTTAAGACTGCCCATGAATAATTTATTTGAATCTCCTTTCATGCATTGAATTTCCCCACGTTCGAAAAAAACTGTCACCTGCCTCTCTGTATGAAGTTAGGAGACATGGCTGCATCGAGGTTCTTTATGAAGTCACATCGCACTGTGTTGTGTACTGTTTCAAAGCGCATCATGGTATCTCTGCATAGGAGTCACTGAATGGAACCAAAGAGCGGATCAACAGAGAATTTAAGCGCAGGAGGGAGCAGCTGAGGGAGGAGGAGAGGGAGGTGCTGGAGCGCGTAGACGAGGAGGGCCGCTCTGTGCTATCCCGCATCCAGGCGGACATCGCTCGCTACGAAAGCAGAACACGGGACCTGGAACAGGAGATCAACCAGCTGCTCGCCGCCCTCAGCGAGCAGGACCCGCTTTCCTTCCTACAGGTGGCACCACCTCCATTCACTCACGGCCTTGGTTTATCAGAGGGTTAATCTACAACCAGAAGAGGGTCACCACTCTGCGAGACGTTAACATTGTAGGCAATTTAATTTCAAAGTTTTTCGATCTGGGTGGAATATGTGGTGTCCAGAAATAGACGTAAGTTTGCTTCCATGTGACAATCAGATTTGGACTTGTTCAATACAACCTCACCATTGTCAAAACTCCAATATGTCAGTTGGTAAACGTTATCTAACCATTAACTTAGGTGCTAGACCTGTAACGAGTCGTTTTATCATTTGTAGAGGTCCGTCCGTGTCCAGTAAAACAAACTATGTTTTTCGCCATTCTCCATTTGCAGGTATTTGATAATTTCGTGATGGGGCATCTGTTTAGGATGTCAATGTTAATGTAAAATGTGGGTTTGTGTTTTTCAGAATTCCGTGCATGAGAATTTCAGGTCAGTACCAACCCAGACTCAAACTCGAGCTCTGTCTGCCGCCTGGTGGACAAATCAGTGAATGGTCGTGATGTGCTTCCGAAAAAATGTCATTGCATGTAGCTTGTACAGGTCGTCCCGATATGTCGTTTCACACTCACGTCACCGACTTGAGGAATACAACGGAAAATGTCCCCGCACATACGTCGTTTTTGATTCAGTTCAGCTGAGCCGAGTCGAAAACATTGTGTATGGGTGCATAGCAGTTAGCACGCCACTCTAAGAGCCCGGCGATCCGAGTTCAATTCCTGCTCATGGCCAACAACCAGTGACGACGATTATGTTTATTTTTATTTTTGACTCGGCTCAGCTGAACTCTACTCCACCTTATTCTCAGTCCCATCATGTACTCTCGCGTGCGCTGCGAGTGCTCATTGTAATCGGCGTGGACTTTCGCAAAATATCGTCGCACAATTCATCCACTCCTCAAAGTAAGATCTTTAAAATTATAGTTTAAGGTAAATCTTTGTTTTTTAAATGCTGTTTAAGATTCTGTGCTCTTTTTCACTATTTGTTTTTTTTGTTTGAGTCATTGCTTGAACATTTCACATACGTTTTCTACTAAAAAAAGGAAAATGCTTTAAAGTGTACAGGGCTGCTTCGCAATGCTCGTTAAATGGTTTTCAATTAAATGTTTGATAAGTGTAAATGATGTTTAAAGGTTCTTGAACTCAGAATTGGTTAGAAATGTGTACATTCTGTTGTACGGTATAGTACATGTACAGTACATGCACAGTACCTGGATTTGTCTCATGTAATGTAGGAATTTTAGTTGCTAGTTACGAAACACGTTTCCCTAAATTTCGATTTAAAGCTTTCGTGACTGCAAGGATTCATCTTCTTTGGTTCTTTCGGTAAAGTCACGTAGAATGAGAATAAAATAATAAATTCTACGTGACTTTACCGAAAGAACCAAAGAAGACGTTTCCCTAAGTTATGATCCTTTCCCTACCATATTCCATTGTTTTTTTTAATGAGAGAAATTGCTCTGCTCTGCATCGCATAGGTCCTTACCCTCCCTTCCCCCATTTGCATGTATTCCTCTGGGGAAAAAATTATCGTGATACATCGTTTCGTTATAAGTCGAAACTTTTCAGTCCCTAGCCCCGACGTATATCGGGGATGCCCTCTATATTATATTTGTTACCTTTTGAAGCAAAGGTAATTAGTTAATATCTTAATTAACTGTCAATCATCCAGATCAAATTCATACCATAAATACATTGTGTCATTACCATTTACCGAATCAAATCCAGACTGAAAATATTAACCATGGCCACGAGTGAATGACTCCACAATTATTATTAATCCAATTGTTTGGTCAGAAACGGACAGTTATTGAGGACTTTTAGTGAGACTTCTTAAGCAGCCAAGACTCCATGTTCAATAATCGCAGTTTCAGTGCTGTGGAGCAAGAGCGAGCTGTCTGAAGGAGGTAAAGAACGACCCTGACTCCTTAAGGAACCTCATCAGAGATACGGACCCTCTGTGTGCCTCGTGTTGCGTGTGTAGGACACGACTCCTAATTAGACTTTGTGTGTTTCGTGCTGTGTGTGTAGAGACACGGACCCTCATTACACTCTGTCTCTTGTTGAGTGGAGAGACATGGACCCCCATTGAACTCTGTGTCCCGTGCTGTGCGACCTGAGTTGGATTCCCGCTCGCGGCCAACACTAGTGACAATTCTGTTATCTGAACCCGTTCTGGGTCTCCCCTAGGTCGACTCAGCCTCCAATTAGCACCTGTATAGTGTAAACATCGCCACCACGGAGACAAAGGCGGCCGGGTGTGGTGATGGCCACCCATCTCTTGTGTGCCGTAGCAGCTTTCATAGGTGCTCTCTAATAGCACTTACCCCAACAGTCGGTTAAGGCTATACTGGGGATATCTGTCTTTGTAGAGAAATAAACCTTCAGACTCTGTGTGTCCCGTGCTGTGAGTACAGGAGCTCAGTCTCCCAGGGGTCTCAGGATGACCCAGCCCCCATCTCCAGCTGTCTGAACCTCGCAAAAGCCATCTCAGTGGGAGGCGTCCAATCGAAACTTCTGCCTTTTCTCGGTATGTACCTCTACCACATTGACCTTCGTTAGACTCCATTACAGACACTGGATTGCCAACAAATCCTACTCGTGTGCAGGGTATCCTTTATTTTTCCCAGGCTTGAGTACATTAATGCATCGTGTCCCTTTTGCAAGGGGGACCTGCATAGATTCAGTTCATGAAACAGGTACAAAGGTGCTGTACAAAAAATAGTCAATAACACGAAGGGTCTCAGTCAATAACACGAAGGGTCTCATTCATCAAGAGTTGCAAACAACAATGTGAAAATGTTTCTTGAGAGCAAAAGGGCGAATTTGCAAGCCATGAATGGAGCACGTTCGAGTCCTGTCATGCTCATTTAGACACTGATGACCACGCGTTTTGTAGTGGGTACGAAGTTGCTTGAGGAAAGTGGATGCTTAATTAGAATTTAGATGAACATGACCCCCACACAAGTAACCTATTGCACTAGTCGGCATTAGTATTTGTGTACACATACTAGTATTCGGTAATATATGTGTGCATCATCATCATAATGCTCCATGGGCAGATATTCAGTAGGTGTCCACTGCCCATTTCGTATATTTTATAACACCGTCGTCAAGCCATTCTCTCGTAGCTCTTCCCCTGTTTCTATCATTTTTCAGAACACACTTTGAATTTTCCTGTTGTCCATCCTACATATGTGTCCAAATAGTGCCAGTTTCCTTCTCATCACTGTTTGCATCAGGTATTCTTGTATGTCCAACCTTTTTCTTCTACATTGGTCACTCTCTGAGTCGAGCTTTGATGAAGTATCCTTCTGTAGCAATACATTTGAAGTGCCAATATCTTATATCTGTCAATATTTTTAGAGTTTCCAAATCTCGCAGGTGTAGAAAGTTGGACTAGACACGCATGTTCTGAAAATGTTCAGTTTGGTTTTGTAGCTGATTTTCTTGCTTCTCCAGGTATTATAGAATTCTGCCATTACTTATTTTGCCTTTGAGATCCTCGATCTTATGTCTTTTGTGCAGTCGTCCCATGTCAGCACACTTCCCAAGTATACCGATTCCTTTACATTCACAATCTAAATTGTTTTCTATTATCAATTCTTTCTCAACATCGTCCCCTCCGAACACCTTCGTCTTTGTCTTTTCCACATTAATCCTCAGTCCTGAATCCTTTTCTGACCTATTCAGTGTATGAACCCTATCCTGCAGTGCTACGCAGCTTTCTACCATCAAATATATGGCGTCCGCGAATCTCAGGTTATTTATTCTTTCTCCTTGCACATATATTCCTGTGCTGTTGTCCTGAGTGGCATCGATCACTCCTTCCAAGTATGTAATGAAGTCGTTTGGTGATAGTGGCTCTCCCTGTCTCATACCTATTGTTATTAGGAACAATTCTCCTATGTTAAGTCCAAACTTTATTACTGTCTTTGACCTTTCAACTATATTCTGCATAATCTGTAAGCATTTTCCTTACTCCATTTGATGTTAATTTTGCCCATGTTATATATTGCTTAGTCGAATCGAATGCTTTCTGGAAATCGATGAAACAATTATAAACCAGCCTATTTTTTCTCTTTGCTTTCGCTGGCATGAGCCGTAACATCAAGATTTGCTTACTGTGTTCCTATCTTTCCTAAACTCTGCATATTCATCCACCAAATTGTCCTCAGTGTGTGCCTTTAATCAAGTAAATAGGAGCATCATTAGTATCTTCCCCATGTGGCACATTAGTGCAATGGTTCTGCAATTTCTACAATTGGTGAGATCTCATTTCCTGGGTATCGCCACAAATATGGATTTTGTACATTGCTCCAGTATTTTGCCTTCTCTCCATATTTTCTTGTACAGATCATGGATGTCTTTCATAAGTTCCTTACCTCCAGTTTTTATGGTTTCTCCTCTTATGCCTTCCACTCCTGGACTTTTGCTTTTCTTAATGTTGTATTGCCTTTTCTACTTCTTTGTACAAGATGTTATAATTTTCGTCATTCCTTAGTGGTGGGGATATCCTTTCTAGTTCATCCAGAAGCTCTTTATTATCTTGTTCTGTATCCATATTCAGATCACTGCAATACTCATTCCATCTATTTTTTGTATCTTGTTTGTTCATCAGGATGTTACCGTCCTTGGCTTTTATCGCTGTTTGCCTTGGTTGCCATTTCCTATCTGTGCTCTTCATTAGTTTGTAGACATCTCTGGTCTTGTATTCTCCAGCGTAGGATTCACTTTGGCTAAATTACTTTTCCAGCCATTCCTGATTACCCTTTATTGCCGATGTGAACAAGGATGCGGACCTTGTTGACCCGGGTGACGTCTGAGCCGGTATCCTTCTTATGTGGTCGTCGTATGCATTGGATTACTTTAATCTTTTTCTTCATGGCTGAAGTATCAGCACCCTTTTGCCTGACCCTCCTTTTAATCCAGGCTTGGGACAGGCTCAGATATCCAGTGGATTAGGGACCCACGAGGCAGAGTTTATTCGTATACATATGTTGTGTGGTGAACGACGACTCGGAGGCAGGTTTCCAGGTAAGGACTTGCGCCGGTTTATTAACAGAAGGGAGCAATAACTGCACCAGAGGTAGATGCCCCTACACTGGGTCCTTCACGGGGACCTCTGGATCTATCTGCTGCTAGCCCAGCTATCTCTGGCTCTCTCTGCTGCTAGCTCAGCTATCTCTGGCTCTCTCTGCTGCTAGCTCAGCTATCTCTGGCTCTCTCTGCCGCTAGCCCAGCTATCTCTGGCTCTCTCACTCGAGTCGGGATGGGGGCTTAACGAACACTGCCCGACCGAGGAGAGCAGCACCCCACCTAACCCTAGCTGGCTCGTGCAGACTTCTCCCAACCTTAGTACTGGCTATCTCTTCAACCCCTCTCTATCCCGGGCTCCCACAACGACCCCCTTTCGTCACGGGGCCCCCCTCAAGTACCCCCAGGTGACATGACGTCCTCGCACCTCACCGCGCGTATGACGTCATGTCTCCTTACTAATCCTCTCCACATATACTAGTATGCATTAGTATTTGAGTGCACATACCAGTATGCATATTGCCATAAATTTTATGATCTTTGCGCATTTATTCCCTATTTCAATTATTGCATTATTACTATAATATAAATTATTATACAGGACACAATGTGCATTTGAACAGGGTACTTGTAATGCTTGTGTTGCTATTGTACACACATTGTTGTGACTGCATGCAAGTGTCGTCACTGTCATTACCACAGATGGATGCTCACCAACTCTAGACACAAACTCAGCCCACAACGAACTCCAGATTTCCTCTGATCTCAGGACGGTGACATGGAGCGGTGTCTCCCAGGGTCGCCCCCATCACCCACAAAGGTTTGAAGTCTATCGACAAGCTCTGTGCTCCGAGAGCTTCTCGTCGGGTCAGCACTACTGGGAGGTGGACGTGGGGAGCAGTGCGTGGTTGTGTCGGATTGCAGTCGCATACGGGACAATCCCACAGAGAGGAAGTGGTCCTGAGTACCTCCTGGGAGGGAGTGATGTCTCCTGGAGTCTACAGAAATATAACAACAGCTTATCAGTGTGGCATGGCGGGGTAGAGACCTTACTGTCAGTGCCAGAGCCTCCGCAGAGAGTCGGGGTTCATTTGGATTGGGACGCGGGACTCTTGTCGTTTTACAGCATCGACTCCATGGTGCTGTTACACTCATTTTACCAAACCTTCACTCAACCCCTGTATCCTGGGCTGTACGTGTGGGGTAAAGTTGGTGACTCAGTGACGATTGTGGATCTGAGTCGTGAATCCTGAGAAAGATGAATGTGAACACCGTAGAGATCTGATACAACACACGACAATCACACCATAATCACTGTTGCACGCAGTGCTACATCTGTAACTAGTTGGTGGGCACAGTGGTTTGGAGTGCATTGCTTCGATTAGAACGTTGGTGCGTGTAATTCCTCACAACCTTTTAGGGGTGATAAAATAACTACCACTGTGGGCGTGAAGCCAACATCAATGTATTCACCCTGCTTGTGGATTGTGTTTATAGTGTCGGGGTGCAATGTTGAGCAATCGTTAAATGGAATGTGTTTATATAGTAGCGGTGTAATGGATAGGGGTACAATGATTCTGTACTCTAGAAAATCAATTAACTGTCTTTATTCCTGGTGGTGAATGCAACAGCATCTAGTGTGTTGTATATGTAGGTTATGAAAATTTTGATGAAAATAATACAAATTAAATTAAATTTGAAATTTGCATAATTATCCGAAATTGTGTTATTTGATGTAATTATGCGCATAAATTATGCTAATTTGAGATATAATCGTATTACTTTATGCTAGTGTGTGTGATTATGCTAATGCGAGCCGTTATGACAATTAGGCCCCGCCTCGTTGACAAGGGTCGGCTATCAATCGGGATAATGCAATTCATCATATGAAGTTATGCAGGTGCTGTGAGCATGTCATATTAAACTCGGCTTCGCTGTTAACTTCGTATTATCGATCAGTATGATACAATTATTCTCGCTTTAACATTTATTGAGTATGGATTAGTGTGTTTATGCCAAGTCTCCAGATTCATACCTCAACGCAGAATACAGTTCTTACGCATAATTTTCAGGAAAGAGCACACAACAACTTCTGCATTAAATTTTTTTTTAGTAAACCTTAACTCTAAAAGATGCAACTCTCGGCTTGGAATTCCAACACAGTATCAACACAGTATCATCACGACTGCATTGTTTCACTTTGATAACAGCACATTGATTCCTTCCCCCGCGTAACGCGAGCCCAGTTGGTGAGATAGAGAGAAGCAAAAAAAAACATGCATACGCTATTGTAACAAAAATCTTAACTTTATAATATGCAAATTCGTATACTTGAAAATTGCCCACACAGTACCGCATTCATTCATAGACCTTCAAGTCAATTCTTATCACGGATCAGTTGATATTTAATGCATCACCTTGAAATGGCAACTCTTCTTGAAACCCAAAGATAACTTTTTGGAACAACCTAATTTATCCCGATATGCGTGTTGTGTGTCTTCTTTGCCACTTAATTAATTCTTTGCATCAAGCAGACGCCAGGTTTGTCGTGTGGTGGGGGGAGGATATACGACCGATGGTTGGTTGAACTCGCTCGGCGTTTCTCACGCCGCTGGGGGATGAGCTCGCCGGCACGGCCCTCTCCTGGTGCTGCTCGAACGCTCTCAGTGCTGCTGCAGATTGACGGGTTGACACGGTGCTGTAGTCGCGGTATTTCGTCGGTAGATGGCGCTCACTGTTGCAGCTTTGTTCACGGGCGGCTGGTTAGGCTCTCTGCGCTGCTGGAAGACTGCGCTGCACGTTCTCTCTCTCTCTGTGGAGAGCTCGAACGTGCTCTTCGCTGGTTCTCTGACAGCAGGTTTTCTCCACTGCTGTAATAGCTGCGCCACTCACGGGCTCTCTCTGTGGAGGCATTCGAACACGCTCTCTCTGGTTCGCTGATAGCAGGTTCTCTCCACTGCTGGATGACTCAAGTCGCACGCACTCTTCGCTGGTTCGCTGACAGCAGGTTCTCTCCACTACTGGATGACTCAAGTCGGCACACGCTTGGCCGCTGGTTGCAGAAGCTCTTGCTTGGTGCGTCGGTCGCGCTGCAGCTGGACTTGATGTAGAGCCGGCACTCTATGTAGAAATAAAGGTCTTTAAGCGATACTTTGCCTTTCAGCTCTGAATCTCACTCACGTTGATACATTGTTACTTGGCGAGGCTCGCCATTCTCAGTTGATCGCAGGGCTCGTTGGAGCCAGCCGCTCGTGCCCCCTGCTCTGCAGCTCCTGAGCTGACGACCTGTTCAACTCGCTGTGCCTTGTTTGAACTGAACTTTTGAAATGATGGTTGATCCGTTATATTCAAAAAAACATCTCCGCTCTGCACCATGGAGGGCGTAGCCTGTGTGTGTGTGCGTGTGCGTTCGTGTGTGTGTCATTCCATTAAACCATCCTGGTCCCCCCCATTCCACCGTACCCTCCCCAAGGCATCCCTTCACCCGTGGGTCACAGATGGCCCCCTCCCTGCAACCACAAGCAACTCCTCGCTAGGGGTCAAATTCCTTTCTCGTGCTGCGGGAAGACAAAGGCGGCCGGGGTCTCTCTTTCTCTCTGGCTGACTCTTGAGAGAGAGAAAACATACTTTGTCACTGTCCTACCGTGGATATCTGGAGATTCTGTAGACAGTCGTTAACCTTTCCTGCGCCCTGGGAGTTATTATTTATTTAATTTCAATTCAATGGACCTTTCATGACCTCCACATGCTGTTTGCTGTGGGACTGGGTTTGTGTTTTTCATTCATTATTTCGGTTAAAAAATATATATCGGCAAATATTATTGATATTAAAGATGGAAAAAGGGGCCCGTATACAACATGTGGTTGGAATATAAAAACGATTATTACAGATGCATTGAGTCTGCGATTCTCTGTGTGAGTTTGTGTCTCTGTGTGAATGTATGGTCTGTGTGTGAGTATATGGGCCTCTGTGTGTATACAACGGCATTATAACACTTGTATCATTGATTCCACATTAAAACAATTCACAAATCTAACAATTTGTACATTGAAGTTCATTTGCACCATACATAACCACTGCGCTTATCGAAGGTACGGTGGAAGGGCAACAAACTAAATACAAAAAGTAGTTTGAAAGAAGTGGGATTTCAATCTGGATGTAAAAGTGCATAGCGCCAGTGACTTCCTCATATCAGAAGGAAGCGTGTTCCAGATGGACACAGAAGGGCATCCAAAAACGCACGATGCAAATGTATATATAGGGCTTTTTCCAAAAATATATATTAAGAATGATTCTGCCTATTTTTTGTTGTAATAATTGATCGGGGTGTAGCGCAGGGGCACAAAGGGGTTCCCCCCCCCCCTTTTGCCTCCTGCCTCTACCGGGCTTCAAAGGCCGCCACAAAGCACTTACAAACAGCAAGGGCCACGGATCTTCCTGGATGGCGAGAACAGGAGGGGCGATTGAACAGACAACTGTTTTGTTTTGGTTTCTCTTAGTACAACGGTAAAAGTTCGAAGCTTGGCTATAAGAATAAGTCGACATTATAGACTGCACTCAGATTAAGAACCAGGCTACAATCTACATTATTGGGTTATTATTTCTCGTATATTATTTTAATATTATTCACCTTTTAAAATTACTTTTCTTCTATCAATGCGACTTTACCAAAAGAACCAAAGAATGATTTCCGGCAGTCATGAAAGTCAAACTTAGTTATATCTCCAACCTCAGGATATCAAAATATAGCTCGAGAATAAGCAGCACGGATCCCTGGCGACACAGACAGAGAACAAGTTAATTAACCCTTCGAATACCTGTGGTAACAACCATGGTAGATCACAAATCTTGGTCAAACATAAACCAAATAATAATTATGAAGTATTAGACCGAGGGTCATCCAGAATAAATACAATGTGAAACAGATAAATCACACACGACCAAGATAATATGTATTCCATAGAATCAGAGCCTCCCAACCGCCTTTGTCTTCCAGAAGCACGTGGTAGCAAAAAATGACACATGCAGGGAGGGCGCCTCCCCTTGAGATATCAAACACCAAGAAGAAATTCCAAACCACGACTGAAGTACTGTAAACACAAACATAGGGAGCCACGGATCTTAAAAATATACCTTGAGTCGCTTAAAGAGTCAAAACCGCAAAAAGGGATACGAGATTAAGATAAGGGGTGGAAAATAATATTTCTTTTTCTGTCAATTTACAACCCGTAAGAGTGAACGGAAACATGGTAACAGGAGGTCATACTTCAAGAGACGGCGCCCCTCTTTGTGAGAGACAAGAAAATGTAACACCTCCAACCGTGAGGGAAGAGGGGGGGAATGCAACCGGACAAAAGGAACCCCATCCCTCCTTCCAAATTAATTATTGCAGAAAGTTGAAATGCTAGAAAAAGACTTAGGGGCAATTGAAAGCATCGGTTTCCACAGATGGCGAGATGGCTTGAGGAAGGAGACAGTAACCAGACCTTGATGTGACTTAATAGATTACTTAAATAAAATATAACAGACACACACACGTACATCGGACAAACAGTTGCTCCCACAGGCCGAGAGCGAAATCAAAGGAATTGCAGTCCTTTGTGAGAAGGCGAGCCAAGGTGGGAGAATTTCAGATAAAAGTAAGAATACCGCACACACAATTCAATCTTGCTGCGGCAAGCTCCGAGGGTGGGCCCCGCAATCGACCAAGGATGGCGAGGCTTGCAGATTAGCGGTGTGTCACCGAGTGTGAGTTCGGTGCTGACAGACGAAGTATCGCTAAACGTTTTATTCTACATTGAGTGCCAGCTCCCACCAGCAGCTGCAGTAAGAGAGAAAGGGAGAGAAAGAGTGACGAGCAACGACAAGCAATCAACCTGTAGAAAGGGTGGAAAGCGCCAAGTATCGACCAAGCGAGCATCGCAAAGGGCCAGGAGCGGCTAACGACTTCCCACGAGTGTGTGGACTCGGAAGCCGAGCACACCCCTGCAAAGGTCGCGTCTACAAGGATCAACCGTGCAAGGGAGAGAGCGTGACCATCGCAACCTAGGAAGGGTGTCAGCACTGGCGACCAGCGGACGAGCTGCGAGTGCAATTGGGCGACGTCAAGGACGAGCGTTGTTCCAGCTCGGCAATCATCCGGCAGTGGAGAAGAAAGCACGGAGAAAGTGCGTGACCAGCGCGGCTGAGGAAGGGTGTCGGCACTGACGACCAGCGGACGAGCTGTGAGCGCAATCGGGCGCCATCAGGGACGAGCGTCGTGCCGACCAGCGGTCATCCAGCAGCAGAGAGGCCTGCAGCTGCCGCCAAGAGAGAGAGCGCCGTTTGTATGACGCCCACACACACACACACGACTCATCGCCCAGCAGGGAACCAGGCATTTTCGGTATAAGGAACGCCCTACCTCGGCGTCTGCTTAACGCAAAGAGTTGAGCAAGAAGACAACATACCCACACACACAACACACATATTGGGACTGATTAGATTACTCCAAAGTTCTCCTTGTGTTTCGAACAGGGCCATCCTAAGGTGGTGCGTTAAATCTTAGCTGATCATGAAAAGCATTCCTGCCCATTGAGTTACGTGGATACGGTCTTTTAGAAGTATTTTAGTCATTTTTGTTAATTGCATAACTGTACCAATGAATTCATTGATGAAACTAAACATTTATAAGCATTTATGTTACGAATCTACAAACTCACAGGGACACTATTTTGTAAAAATATTTATTTTGATCACAGAATCTTGCCCGCAAATTTATTGAAGCCTTAGCCAATTGATAAGCATTTGTTAGACAAGCAGGCACAGCTGCCGCACACCATTGTTCCAAGACATTGCGTTAATTGTGCAAACTTACCAATTAATTAATTGAGGTCTACTTTTCCTTAGGCACATGTTTCGTTATTACTGTTCGTATGAATATTGTCACATTCATTTTTAAGGACTTTTTCCTAACGCCGTGTATGCTCGCTTTACTCTGAGGAATTAGACGAATGTTATGTTACCCAGTTTAACAAACGTAACCATTGAGGGCTAAATGTAGGGATCAATGAGGAGGACATCTCCAGGAGTACTGTGTTGACATTCCTAGCATAAGAGTTCGCATATTAGAATGTATTTTTTTTCGATATTAAAGTTGATTAACACAGAAGCGCTGTCCTACCAGACAGTCTCGTCCCTTCACCTGATGAAGGCCGCTTGTGTTGTGGCTGAAACGTCGTGAGAATATTATTGTTATTTTATTTTATCAATTTATTATTTTATTCTCATTCTACGTGACTTTACCGAAAGAACCAAAGAAGATACTTAAACGATGTTTGAAGCAAATGGCATTTGTGGTTTGAATGTCAAATTGACCGCACATACTCTCTCGAAAACCGAGCGCAATCGCTGCAAATGTTCGTCAAAGGTTTTGCTAAAGACGATGACGTAATCCAAATATATAAGGAAAGAATCCCATTGCAACCCTACAAGAACCAATTCCATTAACCGGTGGAAGGTGGCCGGCACCAAATTCCATCCCATCGGAAGGCAATTGATGTGATAGAGGCCTTGGGGTGTACGAAAAGCAGTTTTTGGTTTCGACTCATCGTCGAGGGGAAATTGCCAAAATCCGGACAAATCGAACATCAAAAAAATTGTGTGGCCGACAATGCATCGAGCGAGTCATCCATCTGAGGAAGGGGATAAGCATCTGCCACCAAAATCTTATTTAGCTTGTGAAAATCAACACAAAACTTCAAGTTCCCATCATGCTATGGGCGCTCCCGACGGGCAATAATATCTGCTACCAGCATCTCATTGACAGCCAGGCATACCTGTTCTTTCTCAGCAGGGCTGAGTCTATGCGAATTAATCCGAATTGGGGGTGCATTGCCCGTATTGATGTGAGTGATGGAGGAGAAAAGTGCGTCCAATATCAAATTTGCCAGTACTAAATACATCCGGAAAATCGTTCAAGAGCCGGCGGCAGCTGAGCTCACTGGACTACCGTAAGTGCTGAGTTCTCAGAGCAAAGAGATTCTAGCCATGCAGAATCCAGCTCACCAGGTTTCTTCACGTTCCCCGCAACCACACGAGCCAGCTCCGCATCATCAAAACAATCGGCCGCCGAAGAGTGTGCCAGGACAGTACCCGCCTGAATCACAACTGGCGCGTGTTCCGCATTCAGTACTTGCAGAAACGGCATCTGCATGGTGGATATAACCATCATAGCCCCCACCAGTGAAGGGGATTGCGACACGACATTAGAAGGGGTATGCAGGATCCCCTCCTCCAGCCCTGGTGAAGGCAACTCTTTGCGCAATCACAGCGGTACGAGCATTTGGGAAACCGCATTCGAATTTTCAAGCACATTCTGCTCAGATAATCGGTGCCCCACAAACAGGGCACAGTTAACGTTCACGAAACCCAAAATTTGACCTACCAAAAAGATATCCCCAAGTTGAACGGAGGCCGACATTTGCCCAAGTATAAACAGGCTCCCCCCGTTAGCCGCAACACATGCGTTCTCCACGGGGACAAGATGATCGGATGACGAAGGCAATGTATGGAACATGGCCTCATAAACCATGTCCATCAACAACCGGACCTGGATCCCCTGAATCAGCCCCACAATTGTTGAAGAACCCGCTGCGGCGCCCACAACGTGATGAGCTAATGCGTACTACTGATCGGCACCGCGTGGCCAACATGTAACCGAATGCACCCACGTGCTTGTACGTGGCCAGCACTGATGTACCGGCCGCCACTGCCGGTCGGTCGTTGAAATCGAGGTGTGTTTGGATGCCGCGGGCCATCTGCAGGGAGGTTAGGTCGTCGTTCTTTGTCACTGCAAGGGTAACCCCCAACTCCCGAGCCAAGAAGAGAAGGCGCTTCAAGGCGGGAGAGTCCAGAACGAGTCTGTCCATTCGCGGAAAAGCCGCGTGGCCCTGAGCGAAGAGAGCACTGTGAAACGCCAGCAAGCATCTCGTTCTTGCCCCGTCGTTTCAGGCAGAATCTTCTTTGCACAATAGATGGGGGGTCATAAATAGTGGCCATCTCGGTGGAGGCGTGCATAAGAGTCGCTCTATCTGCCTCGGGGATGGTGAAGAAAGCGGCAAGTGAGTCGTCGTCGAGGGCCGTGGGAAGAGCTCGGAGCACTTTGCAGGGCGTCCATCCCACCGAGATGTAGGCAGCCTCAAACCGACAGCTACGAACTGGCACACCGGCGGCAGTCCTCGAAGCCTGGCGGCATCTTCCAGCTTGGGAGTCGGTTGCTGCTGCTGGGGAGTGGCCCAATTGCGTGAAATGGCG